GTCCACTTTAACAGAGTTATATGCAATCTTTGTCAAATAGCAGTTTTAGTCGCTACTTAAGCTCAGCCGTGTCTTGTTTGAATTAGGCGAGCCAGAAAAATATCAGATCCCTGTGTACCGAGGATTAAGAAGGTTGTGTAACATACGCCAATCCCGATCACGGCTAAACGAAAGTCACTGAGGCGGCCTCCCCTCCTGACTGCAATAACACCTTATCTACAGACGCAGAATGATTCCTCCCCTTCCTCCGCTGATACATTGTATCAAAGAGCAAAATTCCTTTGAAGTCAGGGGGAGAAAATCTTCCATTAATAAAAACATGTTTCTGTGAGCTTGTGGCATACATTGGCTGCTGTATAATATGAGGCTATAATATGAAACCGGATAGGAAGGGCAGATAGTGACTAGTGATAAAGATTGGGAATACCATTTCATTTTTTATATACAGTATTATTCTTATGCAACATGACAGCTAATATACTTGTATGTAATATTGAAAATCTTTAGTTGTTCATTACTTGTAAATGGTTGTTGTCTTGTCGTATCTTACAGTATATGAGAGCCCGCACCTCGTAAAAAAACTCATTCAGTTTAAAAACAGAAAAGTAAAACATTTGTGCATGCATATAAAAACATTATAAATACCTTTTTCCCTTTTTTATAGGTGATCCCATACTCTCTGTTCTCAGCTGCATAGAGAGATGAGGGAGGAGAAATAGCAGTACACTGAGCTTCCCAGTGAATCGCTGTGCAGGGGAGTTGTCAGGACAAGTCTGATTATTGGAGGAGAGCAAGCTGAGTTCCCAGCACAGTTAGACAACTGACTATACTGTGCTCTCATGCCTAGTGTGATCAGTTTTTATTGGAAAGCAGAGGGACTGTCAAACACTAGGGATTTCATACAAAAGAGCAATACAAAGAGAACAGGATATTCTTCTTACAAGTACATGGTACAGCAGCCACCTATCATGAATAAGAAATGTTGGGTTTACATATTCTTTAACCCTTACATCAACCAATTATCTTTAGATATGTTCAGGCAAGGCATTAGTGCTAGTGGGCCCTTTCAGCAGGCTTATCATTACTAATAACATACAGTATGTTGGCCCTGGCTCATAAGGACACAATAGCATTAAAGGAATGTGTTTAATGAAAGCTGAAATTTGCAAAAGTGTATCTAAAGCCCAAACTTTTTAAAATTGTTGGGTGGAGTGATAGGCGTTAGAAGCACTGTAAGGTACACAGGGCACCTTAGTGGCTTAGGGACAGCACAGTGGCTAAATGGTTAACACTTTCGCCTGGCTGCACCAGGGCTGTTGGTTTGTATCCCAACCACAGTACCACCTGCCTGGAGTTTGCATGTTCTCCTTGTGGCTGAGTGGGTTTCCTTCAAGTACTCCGGTTTCCTCTCACACTCCAAAAAACATGCTAGTAGGTTATTGGCTCCTATCTAAATTGGCCCTAGTATATGTACGAATGTGAGTTAGGGACCTTACTTTGTACGTGCCTTGAGGGTTAGAGACTGATGTGAATGTACAATATATATATATATATATATATATATATATATATATATATATATATATACACATACATACAGTGAAGGAAATAAGTATTTGATCCCCTGCTTATTTTGAATGTTTTCCCACTCACAAAGAAATGATCAGTCTAAAAATCGAATGGTAGGTATATTGTGACACAGAGACAGAATAGCAAAAAAAAAATTCAAAAGAAGTGCATGTCTTTCTTCTCCGGGCTGAAGATGTGTCTTGGACTCCCCATGTATCATCTCACCGATTGACTTCCTTGACGGGACCGTGAGTTTGGCCCTTAGGGCTCCCCCAGTTTGTCAGCATTACGGGTTGGGACTGCTCCAGTGTGCCCCCTTGGGTTCCTTCCCTGGTTGGGGGGGTCTCCTCATGGATTCGAGAATTATGACTTTCTGCTGCCGCAGCCTATTTTGGGCCTGGGTGATGGTATTCCGGTTTTTGTTGGTAGCACGGAGTGAGGGTTCCCTCTGGTTTCGGGGTGGGAGGTTGATCTGGTAGGCCCGGTTGGGTGGGAGGGGGTTAGCCCCATGGTTCTCTGGGTTGTTATGGGGAGGTCATCACGGTGGCCTAGCTCCTTTAGTTTTATTGCTTTGGTACCCCGTTCTATTGTGTTTAGTGCCTTATTGCCCTTTTGCCCCCTGGGGACTTATGTTTCTGATGTTTCCATTTGCAGCCATGTGTCCGGTGGTAGAGCCACCCCTAACTGGTATCCTTCCTTTGTAGGATGCACGTCACCATTGGCGTGACACGATTGCACTATTGTATATTCTTTTTGTGTCCTTTTCCTTCTTTCTTTCTTTGTTTTTTTTTCTCCTTTGGTTTTTTTTTGTTTTTGTGTTCTGCAGGGTTCCGGGACGCCACGGTCCGATCGCCATTGGGAGCGGAAATTGCTAGCTGCTTTATGGTTTCTTCTGCTGAGCGTGTTGCCCTGATGCCGCCATGGCCTCGCCCCTTTTGAAAATTCATTCGCAAAATGTTCAAGGCTTTAATTCGCCTCAGAAGCGGGCTAAAGTTTTTCATCACCTCAAATCACAACAAATTGACGTGGTATGTTTACAAGAGACCAGGTTTTCTCAGTCCTCCGCCCCGCGTTATCTTTCACCTCACTATCCCACCTTTTACACGGCCTCGGCCCCTGAGAAGCGTCGGGGTGTCCTGATCGCTTTTAAACGCAATCTCCCCTTTGTCTGTGCTAGGAATATAGCGGACCCCACGGGCAGGTATCTACTTCTGCAAGGCACCCTCTGGGATCAGGAGGTTACTTTTGTCTCTTACTATGCGCCTAATCGTTTTCAGGATAAATTCTTTTCACATCTTTGCACCATTGTTTCCCGACACTCCAAGGGTCTTCTTGTTGTTTTGGGGGATTCGAATGTTACTTTGGATTCCGCATTGGATAGGCGCTGCGCACGGGGGGCGGCCCCTTCTCATGACTTGGTGCTGGAGGAACGTATGCGCTCTCTCCTGCGGACAGCAGGGCTGCGGCGACGTCTGGAGGGAGCTTCACCCAACGGAACGCGACTTTACATTCTATTCCAGTCCTCATGATAGTTTTTGTAGAATTGATCATATATTTATGCAGGTTCAGCAGCTTCCCTTGGTCAGGCGGATAACTATTCCCTCCTCGCCTTGGTCGGATCACGATCCCTTGGTACTTCTCCTTGCCCTCTCTGGGTCAGAACGGCGCCCTTTTCATTGGCGCATCAATGATTCTTTATTGACCACTCAGGCTACCTGCCAACAAATAGAATTTTTTTTACGAACATACTTCACGGAAAACGCGGGATCGGTCTCCTCGGCAGTGCCCCTATGGGAGGCGCATAAGGCCACGGTGCGGGGTCATGTTATACAGCTGGCGGCGGTCCGGAAGCGGGAGCGGGAGCGCCGACTTTTGGAGCTTCATTCTCTCCTGGCCTCTGCGGATGCGCGTTGGAAGTCCTCTCCATCTGCGGCCCATAAACGCGCTCGGGACGCTCTGGCGGCAGAGTTAGACCTACTTGCCTCTTCAGAGGCGGAACGGGCCCTGCGTTGGACCAAACACAAATTTTATTCCTGTGCTAATAAGCCAGGCCCGATGCTGGCCAGGAAACTCAATTCTGTGGGGAAACCCCATAAACCGATTCGACTGCGACTTCCTACAGGTGGCTGTACTTCTAATCCCCAGCAGATTGTTTCCCGTTTCTCAGACTTCCTTGCACGCCTCTACGCTAAACCAGATCCCTTCCCCGTGGCTCAAGCAGAGGCATTCTTTCAAGATCTCCGACTTCCTGGGTTATCCGAGGCAGCACAGGTGGCACTCAACGCCGGTGTCACTGTACCAGAAGTGCTCCAAGCTATCAAATCTTTACGGTCCACCGCGGCCCCAGGTCCCGACGGCTTTTCCGGTCTTTATTATAAGAAATTCTCAGCCTTGTTGGCGCCCTTTTTGGCTGAGTATTTTAATGCGTTACGACAGGGCTCCTCGCCCTCCCCAGATGCGCTTAGAGCGCATATCGCCATGATTCCTAAGACGACCGATGATGTACAGGAACCGCAAGCCTTCCGGCCTATTTCTCTTCTTAATGAAGACCTGAAGATATTGGGCAAGATCCTTAGTTTCCGCATTAATAAATATTTGCGTAGCCTGGTCCACAGGGACCAGGTAGGGTTCGTCCCCGGGAGGCAGGCGGGTGATAACGTTCGTAAGGTGGTCCATCTTATACATTTTCTGCAACAGCGGAAAATCCCGGGATTCTTACTGTCTTTAGACATATATAAAGCCTTTGATTCTCTATCCTGGGAATATCTGCGGTTTGTACTGTCTCGTTGGGGTTTTGGGGATTCTATTCTTTCTTGGATTCAGGCCTTGTATTCTTCTCCTTCGGCCTCCGTCAAATACGCTGGGTATTTTTCAGATCCCTTTCCTATTGGGCGAGGGACGAGACAGGGTTGCCCTCTGTCCCCAGCGCTCTTTGTCCTGGCGCTTGAGCCGTTGGCTTTGGCGCTTCGGACCGATTGCAATGTATCGGGGGTTCCTTACGCGGGACAGGAATTCAAACTGAACCTTTTTGCGGATGATGCCCTCCTGACTCTTACTAACCCCCTGACGACGCTTCCTAATTTGCAACAGGTTCTTGAGCGCTTCTCCTTGATTTCGGGTCTCCGTATCAACTTGGATAAGACTGTCGCCCTCAATATTACTTTGGCTTCAGATTTGGTTTCGCGCCTACAATCCCACTTCCCTTACAAATGGGCTTCCTCTTCTCTTGAATACTTAGGCATTCGCTTGACCCCCCACTTATGACTCCTTGTTTGCTGCGAATTACTATCCATTGCTTAGCTCTCTATCCTCTCTTATGCATTCTTGGCAATTTCCGCACCTGTCTTGGATAGGACGGGTTAATTCGGTGAAAATGACCATCTTGCCGAAATTGTTGTATTATTTTCGCACACTCCCGGTGCGGGTTCCCCCTCATTTTCTTCGGTTGCTTCAGGCGAAGTTAATGCGTTTTATCTGGGCCGATAAGCACTCCAGAGTATCCAAAAGTACGCTTTTTGCCCATAGACTTCAGGGTGGTCTTGGGGTGCCTAATGTGACTAAGTATTATCAAGCAAGCCAGATTGCCCCGCTGTCTATGTTGCACGCCTCTTCCGACGTCCCCCTCTGGGTCCTGTTGGAAACTTGTGCCCCTAATTGTGCTTCCCCCTGCCCTATCGCACTGAGTCCTATCGACGACTCTTCTACTCTGGTGGCTTCACCCCCTTTGCTCCCAATTATTAACAACCCTCTTTTCCCGCCGGGTTTGGATCACCCAGGGGCGTTTTCTTGGTGGGTGACTAATGGTTTTTCGCAGGTGCGACACTTTTTGATTTTTCGGTCCTTTCCCACCTGGGACTCTCTTCGGGAATCCCGGAATATCCCCCCGGCGGAATTTTTTCGATATCTTCAATTGCGACACTGGCTGCTCTCGCTGCGGGGTACTTCTGCGTTCCCGTACCAGAAATCTGCCTTTGAACAGCTCTGCCAACTGCGTCCGGGCGCTCCGGGCCTTATATCCCTTCTTTATGCAGCTCTGAACAGACGCTCGTCGCATACTTCACTTTCATATGTTGTTCAGTGGGAGCGCGACCTGGGAGTGGCTGTGGATCCGGAGGACTGGAATAAGGCCTGGTCACTCATAGCTAAATGCTCATTTAATACGACCACACTGGAGGCAGCCTATAAGGTATTGTTTCGTTGGTACTGGGTTCCGGCTCGGCTGGCCCGGGCTAACCCTGCCTGTAGTGATCAATGTTTTCGGGGTTGTAGTCATCGTGGTGATGTATTACATATCTGGTGGTCATGCCCGAGACTGTTTCGTTTTTGGTCTCGTGTATTTGGCCTCCTTTTCACCTTGTTCCATCTCTCCATACGCCGGGATGCTCGGTATGCCTTGCTTCATTGCCCCATACCGGGCCTCTTAGCTCACCAGCAGAAGTTGGCTTCCTATCTGTTTTTATCCGCCACTAGAACAATTGCTCAGGCCTGGAAGAGTCCGTTTGTCCCTCTTCAGGGGTGCGGGATCGTATGACCACTATGATGCTCAACGAACAGATGTCGAGTATCCGCAACGACTCCCAACGTAAATTTTTGAAAATATGGGAGCCGTGGTTGCAATATGCCCTTCCCTCACTCCCCCCGGCTAGTCTGGGGATGTAATGGCGTTCGGTATTGGCGTTCTTGAATCCCTGCTCTTTGCCCCCACCTTTTTTTTTTTTTTTTTTTTTTTTTTTTTCTTTTCCCTTTCTTTTCTTTCTCTCTTTTCTTTTTTCTCTCTCTCTCTGTTTTTGGTGTGACTGGGCAGCTGCATTTAGTTGTTATAACCAGTTACATTACTGTTTTGTAACTTATGTGCCATTGATAGCCCCTGCGTGGGCGTACCTTTTGCCCTGTTGGCATTAGAGCATTGTTTTTTCCTTTTTTTTTATTTTGCATATTGTTTATCTGTGCAATTGATAGCCCCTGCGTGGGCGTGTTTTATTGCCTCTGTTTATACTGTTTAAAATTTAATAAAAACCATTGAAATAGAAAAAAAAAAAAAAAAAAAAAAAAGAAGTGCATGTCTAACAAATTATGCACTTTTTGCATGTTCATGAGGCAAATAAGTATTTGATGCCCTATCATTCAGCAGGATTGCTGGCTACCAGGTGTCTTTCATACAGGTAACAAGCTGAGATTAGAAGCAGTCTCTTAAAGGGAGCGCTGCTAATCTCATTTTCTTATCTGTATAAAAGACACCTGTCCACAGGAGCAATCAATCAGATTCCAAACTCTCCATCATGGCAAAGCCAAAGAGCTGTCCAAGGATGTCAGGACTGGGCTACCAAACTATTGCCAAGCTGCTTGGCACCCTTACATTGGTAATCAATGTAGAGGGCCTCTTAACATTGTTGTTCGGTATAGTAGGGCGCCCTTACATTTGTGGTCAGTGGAATAAGGCTCTCTACATTGGGGATCAGTTGAGAAGGGCCTCTTTATATTGTTGGCCAGTGCAAAAGGGATACTTACAATGAAAGTCGGTGTGGAAAGGCCTTTTACACTGGTTGTCAGTGAAGTATCCCCTTGCATTGGTGGTCAGTAGAGAAGGGTTTCCTTTACATTGATAGTCAATATTTTTGGGCTTCCTTTTACATTAGTACCTAGTTTTGCATTGCCATCTTACATCAGTGGTCAGTTGAGAAGAGCTTCCTTACTTTGATGGTCAGTGGAGAAGGTTCCCTTTAATTGGTGGTCATTGAACAAGGTTTCCCTTACATTGGTGGTCAGTGGGAGCAGGAGGGCAGACTGAAGGAGCTCTCCCTGAGAACCAGAGTTTTTCAAGCCTGGGCCTTGCCTGCTAGCTTGGCCCAGGAACCATGCCTGATCCAAGGGGAGGCCCTGGGAGGGATTCCCCTGATTACACTGCGCCTAGTTAGGAGGAGGAGGTGGAGGACCTGACTGTGGGTCCAGGCCCTGGTAAGGATGTGGATGTCTTCAGACAGAAGATTATAGATCAATTCTTGGCTATTGGGAGAGCTACGAAAAAAACTTAAAGTTTTAAAAGTTGAGCACAAATCCTTCAGAGCCAAATACTGCCAGGCCTGGAGTAAGAGCAGATTGGCCATGAAGCCAGAGCTACAGCAGATGGAGGAAAAAGTAAAGAAACAATCTTTTTTGTTGGAAAAGCTGAAAACCAGAAGTGGAGCATTTGCAGAAAAATTTGAAAATGAGAGATTTGCCAGCCAGACATCAGCGAGTTCTGTGAATCAGCAGCCTCAGGTAATGGATGATCTGGCTCTATCTACCTCAGCGTCTCTTCCTCCAGGCTGTGGAGTTGTCAGTGGCAACAAGCCATGGGGTTGAGAGTGAGCATGGAACCCTGACCTTCATCCAGCAGATGGAGTCACCCCTAAGGGCAGACAGGTTTGCATTCTCTGATGACCCTTCAGAAGTCCCTGAGGATGGGCAGAGGCGGTACAGACGGGCAGAGGCGGTACAGACCAGCAAAGCCAGTACTGGTGGAGAAGTCCCAGTACAAAATGCTGCCTTCCAACATGTCTGCCCAACTGGCTGTGGTGAGTACTGCTGATGCAAAGGAGCAACCTGCTGTGGAAGTTTCTGCTGTGGAGGAACCCTCTTCAGACATGGAGGGAAAACCGCTCACAGAGATGTCTCCAGATGTCTCCAGACCATCAGGGGACTGTGGATGGACCTGCGCCAAACACCCCAGAGATGGATGTTACTGCTGCTGTTCCTGCTGAGACCAGTAGTCCCTCTACAGGGAAGATGGCTGCCACCTGCAAAGAGTATGCTGCAGCTGAATCTGCAAGGGTTTCAGAGCTGAGTGGGGGAGGAGAGCAGCACACTGCACCATGTGGAAAACAAACAGCCATGGATGTTTCACTTGTTGGTATGTCTGAACAGTCCATACTTTCTTGGCTGAAAGTCCTTTCCTGGAGGAGGAGATTACAGCTGGAGCTGAAGTTTCTATGGTTGCAGCAGTGAGTGCGGACATTGCTGTGAAATCTATGAATGTGTCTGCAAGTAAATGTTGACTAATATTTTTAAATAGAGAGTTGCTAAGAAAATACGATGTGCATGTATATGTAATAGAAACCTGGTTCGCAACATGCCCCTGAATCCAAGCGTCTTAATATATTGCACCTATTGGAGGTGCTAGGTCATCCTATTATATATATATGTAGCTACAGAGAGCATACACAGTTGAGGAGCCCAAATCTCAGCACATGAGCAGCTTGGTACCATGTCTCATCAAGAAAGGAATAGTCCGCATTGAGCACACAGATGAATTGGAGAGTTTGCTGTGAGCCTTATTGCCATATCCTTGGGCATGTTCAATGAAGAGCTGTTGGAGGGGAGAAACATCCTAGGAAAGCCAGAGAGGATGGCTTCATACACTACCAAAATGCGCATCTGACTGCCTTAACCAGGGTGAAAAGGTCTGGTGAGTGAGCAATTCACTTATGCTCTGTCGGCACGTGGTGACGATATATACTTTTATGGGTCACAGCACAGTGGATTATAAAAGGACTGTCACTTCTCTAATATATATAGTCACTTATGGACTTTCATTTTGTTTATATATATAATAGGATGACCTAGCACCTCCAATAGGTGCAATATATTAAGACGCTTGGATTCAGGGGCATGTTGTGAACCAGGCTTCTTTTACATATACATGCACATTGTATTTGCTTAGCACCTGTCTATTTAAAAATATTAGTTTGCACAAGTGGAACGATCCACTGTATAGAGGCAGCTGCAAATTTCTTATCACATATTTAATATATATTCTGTTAGTGTTATCAGATACACTAGGCGCCATAATATAAATTTTTCTTAATTCAATATGACTGTTGAGACTAGTAAAGCAATGGATGTGTTGGTGGTGGGTGGTGGTAAACGGATTAATGTTGCTGACAGGAGTAAAAATGACATTTCTCCCCCTGCTCAAAAGAGAGAGGACACACCATCCAATCTACAATTTGTACAATCGGTAGTTGCACCAGATGCTCCCAGATACACAAATGTTTCTGCAGCTGGGATGAATGTGGGGAGCTACGCTTCTGTTTTGGGGAGTTGCACCTAGGGGGGTCGAGGGAGTGTTGGAAACCCTAATGGTCACAATTGTGGGAGGTTTGGTGGTGGTATGGTTGGTGGGTTCAGGAGGAGGAATGTTGTGCAGCTGAGGTGGGAGGGGGAGGGTACCCCACCAGAAAGGGGAAGGGTGACTGAGTTGATTTTGGAGATGGGGTTTAAAGCCTGTGATTTGTTTGCTTTGATCTGCCCAGTTGGCAGTTATGAATATGATTTGTCATTTGTAAAACCTGAAGGTCTGGATGTTTCTTGGGAGAGATATAGGAGGTGCAGGGGCCTTCAGCAGTGGAGAGGTTTGGTGGCAAAGGTGGTTTCAAGGCACCCTTTGATAAAATCGGTGACAATCGTGGTCCATAATGAATCCATACCAGAGGCTGATTTGGTAATAGGGCTAATGGCAAGGTGCTCACCCCACTGCGGAAGGTCCTGGATGAGCATGGGATATGGACAGGGGCCTGGCCAGTGTCACTGTAATTGAGGATGCTGAGCAATGTGGTTCAGCACCTGCCCTGCTCAGCTTTTCTGGGGAGGGATAGGCTGACCATTTTCTATCAGGGCCAGCCTAAGGTTTGTAATAAATGCAGCAAGAAAGACCACTTTGCATCATCCTGTACCATCAAGAAATGCTTACTGTGCCAGGATTTAGGCCATTTGGCCAAAGAATGCAACCATATTCGGTGCAATTTATGCCAGCAGCTGGGTCATCCATATAGTCAGTGCCCAGAGGAACTACACAACCTGTCAGGATTGGAGGCTGAGCTGCAGAGGCTGGATAAAGAAGATGAGGCAGCTGATGCTAGGGAGGAAATTGTTGTTGCCCCCCCGTGTGTGTGTTCCGCCTGTTGTGTCAGATTCTGTTTCCCCTAGTAATGTCATCCCTGAGTCTGTCCCTCCTGTTCCTAATCCTACTGTACGTAGATCCTCCAGACTAGCGTAAGCTGCTGGGGGGGGGGCGGGTGTAGCGGATCTTCCTTTCAGCCAACTCCACCTCCGGTACCTGTCTCATGACAGCGCAAACGTGGTCAGAAAAGTGTGGGGGTGCTGGATGGGGGTGGAGCCAATAGGGCTCAAGGAGGGGTGCCATGTCCCATGTCTCACCTCCTGCTGAAGGGGATTCAGATGATGAGGGGTGGGAAAGGGTGAAGAGGAAGAAAAAGAAGAGGAGAATGAAAAGAGCTGCCCTTTCTTCCTCAGAATCAGACCCAGGAGGGGTCCCTCTTGGCAACACCTATTCGGTTTTGTCAGGTGATGAGATGGAATCTG